ATTAAATATTTGAAAAAGTTTTTCAAACTCTGCCCGACGATATAATAGAGATACTTTTATAAAAGAACAAAAATTCGCTGACTGCAAAATAAATACATAAATGTAAAGCAAAAACATAAAAGTATATATATATATTAGATCGTAGAGTCTTAAATTTGTAAACATTTTGTAGAGCTTTGAATAAAGAATCCATAAAGCAATAAAAAACAAAAAAGTTTTTTAAAAAACCATTTCTTTATTTATGTACTGTCGACGTTTCGGAAATAGGTACGTTCCATCTTCAGGATAAATGTCAAGAAACATGATCTTGATAAAATGTAAACAAACAATACAGGAGTAAATAAAAGTAGGAACCAGTAGATTTTTATAAAATTAATAATATACACAAAAGAATGAGGCAACATGAATCAAGTTTGGCTCACCATTAACAAAAAAAAATTCAAAAGTACCCTGGTACAGCACTCTGGCGAAAATACCCATTAGTTTAAATTCTTTGTTCGAAGCTCCACAAAATATTTACAAATCCAAGATTCTACCTTCTATATATACAAATAATTACATTTATTAATTTCATTGTCTATTTATAAAAAGATCTTTCAATAAAGTTCTGTTAAAAAGTGCATTGTTTCTAATTCTGTTAAAAAGTGCATTGTTTCTAATTCTGTACATGTGTCTCGTTAATAAATGAAATTCAATTAGTTATAAAGGGTGCATCCTTAAAGAGCACCCTGCACTAACTAATCAATTATGCAACACTTAATTAACTTGAAGTGTCGGTTAATTAGCTCAAGTGCATTTAGCAACAGAACCCAAGATGTAGTACATACATACATACAAGTATATATATATATATATATATATATATATACATGCTCCTATAAAAAAATTTAATAATTAAAAATGTAAAGTTTCTACCCGGTTTTGAAGTAATTTTTCACCCTTTGCACAATCTCTGGATTGGCACGAATATTTCAAGCTTAAAGCTGGCCAAATCGGTTTAGCCGTTTTTGAGTTTTAGCATACCTAACATAATATCGAGCTCCATTTTTATATATAAAAAAAGACGTTTTGCGGAGTCAGCTTTCATACAACTAGATAAAAACAGCATTAATAAAAGAAATGTTACTGACTTTATTTGCAAAAATTATCAATATATACTTAACAAAGTATCCAAATATATACATATATACATATATACATATATATATATATATATATTTATACGTACAATATTTCTCCAAAGTTATAGGCGCGTATATGAAATTCTCGTTCCCCGAGAACTTTGTATAAGTTATCTAGCTAATTAATTCGAGTGTGAAACTTTAATAAAGACGTCGAGAAACAACAAATGAACTTTATCATATAATACTTTATACTTATTTGATACTTGTAAAAGCCTTGAGCTGGTGCTCAAGTTATTACAGACGCCTGAACGAACTTGATCTCCACCGGAAAACTATTGTAATAGAAATTCGAGTAGAATATATATATATATATATATATATATATACATTAAACATATCATTTTAAACTTTCCATTACTCTCCACCGTTTGACTGATGATACTAGAGATGCGCACGTGTCTGTCAAAAACACGCAACCACCGAGATTTTTATTCATAATTTGCAAAATAACGAGTGTACATTTTTATATAAATAGATTTAAAATATGTGAAAGGTATCAGCATGAAATTCACAAGCGGAAAATACGATACTCTGCATGCTTGCGATAAAGGCAAACACTGTGTATGGGATTTTTCCAAAAATACATTTTCTCATCTCGATATTTTAATGAGTTCGGACGAAAAATATTTTGATATATATATATATATATATATATATATATATATATATATATATCTTATATATAAAAATAGAGCTCTCGATCAAATGAATTGGTAAAACTCTAAAACGGCTGAACCGATTTGGCCAGTCTAAATCTTGAAAAATTCGTGCCAATCCAGAGATGGTCTTAACAACACATCCTTATGCACTTAAAGTATTAATATTTTTGATTCTCTAGAAATGGTTTAGAATATACCTTATTTAGCAAAACAACGTTTGCCGGGTCAGCTAGTTAAATAATATTTACGCAGAACATCCTATTAAACGTAATTGAACATCATCTGTCAAAAGCGTTTGACATTTCACGAAATTGCCACCGTCCATTGTTTTATTTAAATTACGCTTCTACAAAAATTTTCAAATTAAAAATGTAAAGTTTCTACGCGGATTTAAAATAATTTCTCACCTTTTGGACTTTCTCTGGATTGGCACGAATTTTTCAAGACTGAGACTGGCCAAATCAATTCAGCCGTTTTCGAGTTTTATTCGGACATTTGAAAGAGAGCTCCATTTTTATATATAAGATTATGATTAAATTGTAGTAAGTAGATTTGTTCGTAGTTTTATTTATATACAAAATCGTTAGTAAACGGGCCGCAAGTGTTACTAGAGACTCAAAATATCAACTTTTTTGAAATGTTAATAAGAAAATGCACTTTTTGGCATATTTTTCTCAAACACGGTGCTCTGAAAGATCTCATTTATATAATTATATACTCATTGGTATTTATAAAACATTTTCTAGGTTATGTTATTTTTCATTTACATTATTTAAATTCAGAACCAAAATTTGGTATTGATCAAGGGGACATTTTGTCGAATAACATTTTCCCAGTTATAATTTCCCAGAATTTATCGAAGAATAGATAGAAATATATGAAAGTCCAGGGTTAAAAAAGTCGAACACCAATGTGTCAAAAACCACTAAAGATAAGATAAATATTGTTTAACAACAATATTTGAAAGTAGAGGGAAAAAGATGTATAACCAGCTATAACTTTGATTCTTATGACTTTGCTATCGGGAGATAAACGGTAATCTTTGAAAATCCATAATAAGAGTATTTTCTTCTGTTGGTAGTTTTTTAGCATTAGTTAAAAATGTAATTGTTTTGTAAAATACCTTTAAAAATAAAATAAGACATTGAACCTGTTTGCCACCTGGCCGTTACAAGTTACTCCGCCTATAGGGTAGAAAAGTCTAAATAATAATTTTTTTAAAGACAGCAAAAAAGCACCTTTCTACAATAATGAAGTAGCTGACAGTTTTACTGAACGTAGTCAGGTAATTATTCGTTTGAAATATGTCATTTTTTGTGATATAATTAGTTTGATTTATATAATATCATTAATATTTGCTCAAAGTCAAATTGGACCTTCGTGCCTCGCCCTGCTCTACATATATACTTTTTATTAAATTTACTTTAATTCATCGAATGTTACTTGAAACTTTTCAAAAAGTAGGATAAAGAAGAAATACTTAATTCATTTCCTATCTCTCCTCGCAGAAATTTGAAAATTTTGTATAAGCTCAGTAGTATTATTTACAATTATACACAAAATCCAGAATCCAAAAAGAATCTGAAAAACTTGAAACGTAATCAATAAGTCGAAAGACCAAGAAAGACTTGGATTGGATCATACCATGTTTTCTATAGAAAGTGTATAAAACTTCCAGTTTGATTGTATTGACAAGATATAGACAAACTAATGGAGTTTATAGCATTCAAACAACACATCCTTATGCACTTAAAGTATTAATATTTTTGATTCTCTAGAAATTGTTTAGAATATATAACACTTAGCAAAACAACGTTTGCCGGGTCAGCTAGTATATATATATATATATATATATATATATATATATATATATATAATATGAAATTTTATCTATCGTCGTTCCATATTTTTCCGGTGGTGCCTCCTCCGCCTTGTTTTCCAGAATGACACAAGTTGTGTATTATGAAGTTATAAGAGTGTTGAAAAGTTCTCGGAGAGCTATCGCAGCTCACTTTGTAGCTACTTGAAGCTATTACAATCTTGCGATCATCAAGGCGAGAGAGAGGGCTCTTCTGCACGATGGAGCACGTTACAGATGAATTACTTACACCTCTTAGGTG